GAAAGCAAGAAAAGATTCGGAAAGCTGATGAAATTTGACGTGTAGTAGGCTACATGCTTAGCCCGAAAGTAATGTTTGTCGTGGTCAAATCCACGCACAAAGTTCCGTCTGCTAGAGTGAGGTTATGTAGGGTCGAAAAACCATGTTTTTTTATCATTTTTTTTCGCGCACTCGTGACAGTATCATGTTTTATACAAGACCTACTACACGGCAAATTTCATCAGCTTTCCGAGTCTCTTCGTGATTTTTACCGGAGATGTAACCTTTTTTCACATAAGCTTCCCCCAAACAAGCTGTTTTCGCTGGTATCGCACCTCGGCCGGGACCGGACCATTGCGTTTCCAGGCCCTGTATTTAGTGATACTCAATGAAAATAATAGTTCATGTTTACAATTTTAACAAACTAACACCATATCTTACTATCGAACCTGAAAAATTCGTCACCTATGTTCAAATGCTATTTTATGTGTTCCCCTCTCTAGCTTCCGATGAAAATGATACCAAATTTGGCTCAAATGGGCGCAATACAACGTTGAACGCGGGCGGCTGCTAGCAGCCGCTTCGGGAAAACTTCTTCTTGTTCTTCTAACCGCTAAAATCACTCATTTACATTTACTAGGTGTAACTCGACTTATATTCCTTTACGCATAGTTTTATGGCAGATAACTTTTATAAATCTAGGTAGGGTCCATATCAAATATTCTACCTCTACCCTCACCGTTTTATCAAGCGCTCTTTAAAAACTAAGAATGAAACATACAAGTTCACAACTTTTTTGAAATCGTAGCGTAGACAGTATTTTGTGCTTCCTGAAACCTGACGGTTTTGCAGTAATCCCCTTCTCCCGATTCCTGGACCAGTTATCATGAACAAACACACTCACAGACACACAAACAGAATAAAGCTGTTTCGGGCAGTAGAGTAATAGGCTTCGCTAATCGCTCAGCCAAAATCTCCCTGATATCTGTCAAGTGGTTCTGAGTGGGGGGCCTCTTCTGTGATACTTCTGCTCAGTTGCGTTGAGGATAGTTCTAAAGAAGAAGTGAACGCGTGAACGAGTCCGTCTTGGAAGCACATTTTGTCCGTAGCACGAATTCTAGCCCCATCCCCCTTTCTACCTACACTATATACCACATCTCTGACCACTGGATGTAGTCACCGCATGGGACCGACTTCTCGTCGCTACGATCTCGCTCACGGCTCACCATGCCGTCCCCGGCCACCCGTGACCTACCCTTGGCCCTGCCCTTGGCCCTCCTGCTCACCTCCGTGCTCACCGCCCTGCTCACGCCCGCCCTTGCTCTGATCGACGACTTTCCCGTCGTCACCACCGACCAGGGCTCCTCCATTCTCGGAAGAAAGCTGACGAGCGCCGGGCTTCGGAGTGGCTCCTTGCCCAGGGACTACGCGGCCTTCTTCGGGGTGCCATACGCCAAGGTGCCAGTTGGAAACAGAAGATTCAAGGTGAGTTAGGTCGCACACAGTGAGAAAAATCTACAGCACCAACTACAGTTTTAAACTGTTGCTTGGAAGAATAGTGGTTTGTCAACGCGTCCGTGCAACAAAATCCTATCTGTTTCGCTGCCCCGAAAGACTAGCCTATATGTTTTTCGGCGCTCTCTGCAGCGCTGTCTTCTTTTCATTGAGGGTTTGCTAATATTAACGGTAGAAAAATAATAAAAAATGCCATTTGTACCTTGATCTTTAAGGAACACGCAGCAGTGTTCACTTTTTTCCTACTGTTAATATTAGCAAACTCACAATAAAAAGAAGACAGCGATGCAGAAAGCGCCGAAAAACAGATAGGCTAGTCTTTCGGGGCAGCGAAACAGATAGGATATTGTTGCACGAACGCGTCGAGTATGTTCAATTTTGTGCTCTATCCAACGCTGTTCGGTACGAAAGTGCAGTCCGACACTTGATCATACACCTGGCTACCTACTGGCCGATCAGACATTCTGCTTAGTACTATCCTATTACTAACTCAGCGGAATTTGTGCTGGTTGGGCGTTTGTGATTCGAATCATCGTCCTTATTTAAGGCTGCTCTGGGACAAAGGGGCATGGTTATAAGTCTCAAACGCTTTACACGTGTTCTACATGTGAGAATGTTGTGCAACGCGAACCTTTACATCGATTTTGGCCTCCCTTTCTCTGCTCGCTAGCAAGTGCTTTTCCTCCACCCATTGGTCTTTCACAATCTGATCAGATGAAACTCGACACAAAAATCTACCGAAAAATGAGAAAAACGTTTTGTTGAAAACAAAATCTGTACGTACAGTGTTGAGAAAGTAAAGGTGAAATATCATCAAAATTCTGACAAAAAACGGCGATCCGAGTCACACCTTCGTTTCCGACAAGCTTTTCTTAGGGTTCAAAGTCATCAACAATTATATAGTCTTCTTTTTCCATATTGAAATACCTGGGGGACACTTAGTTAGCGTAAGAATTTTTAGAATTATGACTGCGGTACCCTTTTGTCTTACATTTACAACTAATTAACGTACTTTTAGTGGACAGTTACATCTCTAACTTCTTGTACTTGTACACTGAAATAAGAGAAGCGTCTAAGTGTCTCACCTGATGCCCACCTCTGCACTGTAAAAATTATCTACAGCATTAACTACAGTTTTAATCCGTTTATTACAATGACAGTCATAAATTCTCAAAAGTTGTACCCTCTCCAACGGTTAAAAATGAGTTTGCACAGTTTTGGACGATCGATTTTGTGCCACCACACTTATTCAAAGCCAATACAAAGAGCCCATTCCTACACTACAAAACTAACACTTCGACACTATGAAAAAAGACGTACCAGGTACCGGAAAATTTTCCATGGAAGAAGTCGTACAATTTCAATTTAAAATTGTAAAATTTACTAGCCCCGCGAATCGACTTAAAATCGTATAGTGAGCGAGAGTGGGAAGTCGTCCATTACATGTACGACTCATTTTGTAAATGGCAAAATACAAAATATATCGTACATGTACAAACATATTTTTTTTACAGTGGAAGTCTTTCGTAACACCATGAAGAGTGTCTTCGTTAGAATGTGATGCTCTCGAGGTGTCGATTGCATGTATACCGTCTTTCTTCAAAGATCATACTATCAGAAAAGGCTCAATCTTGGTCTCAATCGTGCAGCGAAGATAACGAGAGAACCAGCGCACAACTCAAGTTCTCTACCACCAAAAATAGAACTTCAAACTTATTTTTGGTTTAACGCTTTAACAGAAAATTAAAAACTTGACCCGAAAATGAAATTTCTATGAGGGGAGGGTGGGGAAGATCCGGACTCGG